AGAAGTATGCAGAGCTAAATGAGGACTTAAAAATCATCTTTTTTTGAGGAAGAATAGAAATGGAACACCCTGGCATTCTCCTTTCAGTGGGAAACCTGATAAACCTTGCAAACATTTGGAGGGTGTAAAGCAGAAATTTATATGAAGATGTATTAGGTAAGGCTTCCAGAGCTACGGGAGATTTTAGTTTAATGGATGGGGCCTTCAAGAAATGCCATAGTTAACTATAGACTGCCTGAGTTTGAAACCCCGCTCTGCCAGTTATTAGCTGTGAAACATTGGGCAAGTTAATCTCTCTGTTCCTCAGTTACCTATCTGTAAGATATACATGATAATAGCATTTCTTAGCATTGTTGTAAGGATTAATTAAAGCTACTTAAAATTTAGCAAGCAATAAATGTTGGTTTTTATTAGTGTATTTAAAAGCAAGGAGGAAGTTTTAGCAACTTAATGACAACTGGTTGAGATGCTTAACAATCTCTTATGTAGAAGTTTGTATTTTAATCATTAAAGGTAATATATAGAGAGATTGAATTCTTTTGTGATATAAAGCATTATGTGATTTACAGAGTTATTGGTTCTTATAAAAATATGTAGTTTTCCTAAGGAAACACTAAACTATGTTCCCCATGACTTCTGTGTTAAGTATATTTAAATAAAGCCCAATTTATTGAAAAAAATGTTAATTCTTGTTAATTCAGTTGTTATTAATAATGGTAATTATTACACCATTACTCTCAGTTAACCAAAATTATCTGGATTATGAGACATTAAGAGAGTTATCTGTGGTAGTCCTCAGAACAGATGGGGAAGTTCATGAAGCATATGGAGATTGCAATTCTAAAATCATTCATAGTAATAAAGTATACTAAAGAGAAAAGTTGGATGCCTTGCCCAATCGTTGTAAAATACTAAACTCAATTACTAGAAAAAACAACAAATAAAATTAAATGCTTTCAGACTAGGACTTGTTCGGAAATTATAATCTACTTGAGGGAATAAAACAAACATACCAAATCTTAATAGCAAAAGATACAAATAAGGAACCATCAGTGAGTACCTGATTAATTAACTAAGTAATGTGTACTAACTGGTGTAGGAATTCAGAAGAGAAATAGCTTTTAGTGTCAGATTGATGGAAATTTCCTTCAACAAGGAAGCAGTATTTCAGCCAAGTTTTGGTTAACCAAGAGATGAGAGATAAACAGCAGAAGGTGGCTGGGGTCAGACAGTAGAAGAGCAAGAGTCTTGCCAGAAGATACTGGGACATCATTTCATAGCCACAAACCATAGAGGCAGATGTCCCATCCTGTGGATCTGAGAGGTAGAATAGCTAGCTCCCTATTTGTGAAGACACTTGGGAAGTCCATGACTGTGCACCAGCTATAAAGCAGCCCTAGGCCTGGGGCAAAAACCAACTGTAGTCATTAGCTGAAGATTGATGTTAACTTAATAGAAAAACCTGAAATCTTTAGCGGCACATGCACATAGAAAGAATACTTCATTGGGAGCACTTCCAAACTAGGTAGGTAAGAGAAAAGAAGTCCAGTTTTCTTTAAAGATTTAATAGTTATTGAGAGCACCATCCTTCTGTACAGCAGACTCAGATATTGCCTCTGTTTATTAGACTTTTCTTTTTTAGAAAGAATCTAAAGAGTATGTCTGTATGAATATATTACTTCTATTGCAAAGTGTTTCTGGACCTGTTTATAAGAATTTTCAAAACTAAAATGTAACAACCTATTTCATGGTATTTTTAGTAAGTTATAAGTGTGTGTGTGTGTGTGTGTGTGTGTGTGTGTGCGTTCTTGAGAGAAATGATTCAAGACTTTTTCTTAAAAAAAAAATTGGCTCTGTATTTAAACAGAGTAAATGATGCTAGAAAAGCATTTCCCCCCTACTAAGTTAAAGACAAAAAATTTTATTCTGAGACATTGAAGGTGTGTTTCTAGTTATATATGAGGTTCTAGGTTAAATTTTCTTGTAGAATATAACCTAGATTTGTCTTTCTTGCCACAAGTATCTTATTGATTACCTGCACAATTTACTTAGGAGGAGAGCAAGGTTATAAAACATATAATCCATAAACATCATTTTAGTTTATCTACATTGATTTATTGCTAAAGTCCTATTTACTCTATGGTTAAAGTCATTTCTTACCCAGTGGGTCTTGAGATTATCTGTTAATATAAGAAATATAATCTTAGAACATAATTCAAGATATGTTTTTATAAATGCTAACAGTGAAGGTTAATGAGTAGTCAGTGTTCACAAATATTTAGAGCATTGTTTTTCAGAGACCGTAGCCCTTTGCATTATAATCACCAGAGATGTCTTTAAAAATAGAAAAGCCTAGTTCTTCTGAATCAGAATCTCTGCTCATCTTACTTGGGAATCTACATTTTAAAGTAGTACTTTTGGTTATCAAGTTCATTATATTGGGTTGTTGGAAAAGTCATGACGTATGTTTTCTATGTTTGTCGTTGCAAAAATGCGTCATGACTTTTCCGACAGCCCAATAGTTTGAGATTCACTGCAACCACTATTCATGTCATGCTTAGATCCATATAATCTAAGATATTACATAGTTGTTGAGGTACGTTTGTGTGTTAATATGTATCATGGAAGCTTTGAAGTCATTTTATTAGTAGTCAGATTAGCAAGTATCTGAGTAGTTCTCAAGAACTTTGTAGATACCATTTATATATATTTTTTGAAGTTAGTGTCTTATTAGTTAATCTGTAGAAACTAGGTCAAATAGTTGCAGGAGATTGTTTCTTAACTGAAGAACAGATATCCTTTAATGCTTTTTGAAAATACCTAGGCCCTGGCCCCACATCATACCAATTAAATCTAAATATCTAAGGAATAGACCGAGTCTTGGTACATTTAAGAGTTCCAAGTGTTTTTAATGTGCAGCTGCAACTGAGAAACAGCAATCTATACTACTAATGACCAAAAGGAACAATGATGTTGCTAATCCAAAATTATTGATATTTGCCTTGGGAATCCATAGTACTCAAAACCATGAACTCCATCCAAATCCTATTGCATCCAAATCCTGTTTCCGTAACGGCTTGTCTCTGGCTGATTTAAAAAAAAAAAATCAAAGGAAATCAGAAGCAAATTCTTTCAGCAAAGAACATTTTCTCTTCATGATCCCAATTCTCTATTAGAAGCAATTTCTCTTTAAAAACCTCTGCTCAGCTTCACTAGGTGGACAGTTTAAATGATAGGGGGAATAAAATTTGGACTGTTTCATGAGGAGAGAGTATTTAACTAGTTGAGCTCTAGGATTTGGGCCTTTAGAGGCAACTCAAATGTAATCAAGAATGTTTTTAAATTATCTATTTTGATGTCAGTTCCTCAATCCCACTAGTGCTCAGGAGCCATTATGTGGCTAGTGGCTACCATATTAAACAGTGCGCAAATATAGACCATTTCAGTCATTGCATAGTTTTATTGAACAGTACTATACTAAAGTGACTAAAATTACTGGCTGCCAATTTGGGATGCTTCCTAGGACCTTATGAAGTACCAAGATCATTCTAAGGTGGTAGAGTTGAGGGGAGTAATTGGTCCAACTATCAATGGAAATTTATAATTTTTGATTCCTCTTATAAATGTCATGCCATATGTAATTCTGTCCTGACAGCTGAGAACCGTTTTTCTCATTCCAAAAATAATACTGTTACCGGGGTCTCTGCTAAGCACGGGTTTTCTCATTAAACCTACAAAGTAGCACCTTCCATGAGGGAGGTATTATTATTTTCAAAAGGCAGATGAGTAAAGTAAATCTCAGAGTGATGAATTTACTTGTCCCAAATCATTCAGTTGGTAAGGGGGTTACAGGAATTTAACTCCTATGCTGTCTGATTCCAAAGCCCTATGCACTCACTGTTCAGCACACTCTATAGCAGCGGTTCTCAACCTGTGGGTCGCAACCCCTTTGGGGGTCGAACGACCCTTTCACAGGGGTCGCCTAAGACCATCAGAAAACACATATTTTCGATGGTCTTAGGAACCGAGACACCGCTCCTCTACCCGTCTCCATGCTTCAAGACAAAATTTCATTTATTTGTAATTAGAAATAAATATTTCACAATATATAATTACATATTGTTTTTGTGATTAATCACTATGCTTTAATTATGTTCAATTTGTAACAATGAAAATACATCCTGCGTATCAGATATTAACATTACGATTCATAACAGTAGCAAAATTACAGTTATAGAGTAGCAACGAAAATAATTTTATGGTTGGGGGTCACCACAACATGAGGAACTGTATTAAAGGGTCGTGGCATTAGGAAGGTTGAGAACCACTGCTCTATAGATGCTCTATTAGAGGAAATCATTATAGTGCTTCCTGTTTATGAACCACTTTAGACTCTTGACCCAGACTCTCACACTTAGTGACTGTGTGACCTTGAACAAACAATTTGACCTCTTTGTGCCTCAGTTTCCTCATCTCTAAAATGGGAATGATAACAATAGTAGCCACCTCAAAGTGTTGTGAAAATTAGGCGTATGTGAAACATTTGGAACAGTGCTGGTCATGTATAAGAGTTCAATAAATGTTTGCTGTTATTATCCAAATAAATAAATAAATAATCTATTTTGAACAAGGAAACTGTTTTCTACAATGGGGATATGTGCATGTAAGACATCAGAATCAATGTGTTTAAAATTATATTTCTCAAAAATGTTCATAGAAACTAGGTAGCCAGATAAAATTAGTACTATAGAAAATGCTAAACTTTATGACATGGATCAAAATATGTGTTCCACAGAACTTTCTGATTCTTCTAAAATGAAAATCTCATTATTGTTACATTTATTTACATAAAACATGCCCTATAATATATACCTCCCTTTGCCCAAACTTATTAAGGAAGGTCTTAAAGAATAATTCCAAGATCTGCTTTTATATTTAAAATAAATGAAACAATATTTATAACCTCAAATTGATGATACTTTCTTATGTTTCTCTTTTAGATGCTCATTAAGGATATCCATTTCTGCATGTGGGAAGTAGATGTTGAAGGTTATATGGTTTACAGACAAGATCTTTAAAAGATAGACACTCAAGGTAAGTCATAACTACAGCCTCATAAATAATCTCATTTAAATGGTTAGAGTTGCCAGATTGTAATTGGACTTATTACTAAACTTGGTTACTTTTTATCACTGGCCCTGTCTAAGTGATCATATCACCACATTTATTTATATCCAGACTCAAATTTTTATGCTTTAACACCATCTTGATAGGGAGTATCAGGTATCATTTACAACAGGCAGTTGATAAAATTGATATATTATTATGGAAGAGTGCAAGCCAATTAAGAAGAATGGCTTCTATCAAAACTGTGAGCATAACTCAGTCAGTAGAGTTTAACTTGAAAAAATAAACAAAAACTACTATCCACTGCACTTTCTTTTTAATGACTTCATTAATCAGTTCCTTAACCATGTTAAAGAACAAGTCCTTTAACCCCTCCAAAAAACCCTGTTTCATAGTTTCAAATACTCATAGTATTACCTCTGAGTACCAAACCTCTTTTAACTATTTCTTGAGTCCCCAAAGATTTGTCTTGACTTATCACATCCTTTCAGTTAGCATGTTCTGTTCATGCCTCTGATGACTGATTACATGCTTACATTACTAAGTAAATTTTGGAATACATTTTGGTAAAATTATGAGTGAGATATGAGGGGTACAAAGTGCAAAAAATAAATAATGTTGCCTGTCAGGTGGGCACAGTGGTACATTGGAAGTTACATGACTTATATATGGGGCATTTTGTTCAGCTCTACAATCCTTTCTAAGTGGGATTAAGAGACTAGCAAAATCATATCTTATGTTTTTTTCAGAAGAAACCAGAAATACTGATTTTGAAACATTCTAATTTTTCAATATCAGCATAAAATTTTGCCTTTCAAAAAATCCACTTTTGCCACTATGAATCAAAACAAAAAAAAAGTTTACAGCCACTGGTAGGGGAGTATTTTCCCTTTGTTCTATTTTTCTTTCTTCTTTCAGAATGCAAATACTTAGAATCTATTTTTTTCTCCTTAATTTGTGGTTAGCAGCTTAGTGGTTTTTCCAGTTTTCTTTTATGAATATTATTGTCAGAAATGACTTCTCTTGAAAATATAAATGATATTACTTATTTTAAAATAATTTCTGTAGTTATATATGGTGAGTTGGTTACTTGGAACAGCTATTCAATTGTTTCCTGAATTATAATAATTAGACAATTATTTTTATAGTTCCTTCATTTCCACAGTCTAAAACAGACCCTTCTGATTAAAGAAAAGAAAAAAGGAATTTTTTTTTAATGGATCTTTTGCATACACAATAGAGTAAATCACACTCCTCAGTTCATGGTACACTGTCATCACTGGTCCATGGAAAGCACTTATTTTATTTGTTTATATATCTTTTATTATTCTCATTTCCACTCCCATGTGCCTGATCTCGACCCATAGGAAAACATTATGATATGATAGTGTAAAATAATATCTACTGCACTGTTCTCTTTTGTGTGTATTTTGGTGATAATGACTGTTGTTTTACATACATCTATTTTTTAAATATTTTAAATGGAAATTTTCAAATAAGTAAAGAAAAGGGAGAATAATATTTTGAACTTCCATGTACCCATCTCTGTTTCAGCAGTTATCTCATGGTTGACCTTGTCTTAACTATATTTCTACCCTGCCCCTCTCTCATTTATGTACATGAAATTTTAATGTGCATAAACACTATGTGCTATGTATCTCAGTCGGTTTCTTACTGTTTTATTTTAATTAGCCCCATATTTGTATTATTTATGTTGTTGTCGTGTTTATATTGCTTGTAACTGCTACATTGTACTCAGTGGTTTATAGCTGCCATGTTTTAACCAGCCATGTTTCCCAGTAATTGCCATCCAGATTGCTTCCAATTTCCTGTCACAACACACAATACCATGGTGAACATCCTCATACTTGTCCTTTTATGGAAGGAACTTTGCGTGGATTTCTTTGGGATATGTCCCCGGGGTTCAGAATTGCTGGGTGGTAATAGGACATACGTTTTTATTTCATTTGACCAAGTCCTGCCAGGTGCTCTACCAGATAAATATTCTGGCCCACACTTTCACCAGCCCTAACCCCCTCATCGCTGCCAACGCTCGACATTATCTGGCTTTTTATTTTTAGTCTTACGTGTGTAATTTTGTAGCTCAGTGTTTTAATTTGAATTCCTTTTATCACCAATGAGTTTGAGTATCTCTATATTCTTGTTGTCTTTCTGACTTCCCACTTCTGAAATTGCTTGTTCACACTGTTTTACATATTGGTCTCTGTCTCTTAATTAATGTTTTCAAAGAGTTTTTTGTGTATTCTAGATATTCAGTGTTAGATGTTAAAAAATATCTGCTTCCATTCTTTCAACTTTCTAATTTTGTGCATGATGTCCTTTAAGTAGATATTAATATTTTAAATATTCAGTCCCTTCACCTTCTCCCCCATGTCCCAACCCCCATCCCATCGAGCAACCATCAGTTTGTTCTCTGTATCTATGAGTCTATTTCTGTTTTGTTTATTCACTTATTCTGTTCTTTAGATTCCACATATAAGTGAGATCATATGGTATTTGTCTTTCTCAGTCTGACTTATTTCACTTAGCATAATATCCTCTAGGCCCATCCATGTTGTTGCAAATGGTAAGATTTCATTCTTCTTTGTGGCAGAGTAATACTCCATTGTATAAATGTACCACAAATTTTTTATCCAGTTGTCTATTGATGGGCATTTTGGTTGTTTTCATATCTTGGCTATTGTGAATAGTGCTGCAGTAAACATAGGGTGCCTATATATTTTTGAATTAGTGTTTTGGATTTCTTTGGATTAATAGCCAGTAGTGGAATTGCTCAGTCATAAGGTAGTTCTACTTTTAATTTTTTGAGGAGCCTCCACACTTTTCCATAGTGGCTGCACCAATTTGCAATCCCACCAACAGTGTATGAGGGCCCTTTTTTGTCCACATCCTCACCAAAGCTTATTGTTTGTTGATTTATTGATGATAGCCATTCTGACAGGTGTTAGGTGGTATCTCATTGTGGTTTTCATTTTCCATTTCTCTGGTGATTAATGAAGATGAGCATCTTTTCATGTCTATTGGCATTTGTATGTCCTTTTTGGAGAAATGTCTCTTCATGTCCTCTGACCATTTTTTAATTGGATTGTTTGTTCTTTTGGTGTTGAGTTGTGTGAGTTTTTCATAAATTTTGGATATTAACCCCTTATCAGATATATCATTGACAAATACCTTCTTTCAGTAGGATTTCTTTGTTTTGTTGATTGTTTCCTTGACTGTGAAAAAATCTTTAGTTTAATGTAGTCCCATTTGTTTATTTTTTTCTTCTGTTTTCCTTGCCTGAGGAGATATATCAGTAAAAATATTGCTAAGGGTAACGTCTGAGAGTTTATTTCCTATATTTTCTTTTAGGAGTTTAATGGTTTCAGGCCTTACATTTAAGTCTTTAATCCATTTTGAGTTTATTCTTGTATATGGCATAAGAAGTTGCTCCATTTAATTTTTTTGCATGTATGTATCTGTCTAGTTTTCCCAGCACCATTTATTAAATAGACTGTGTTTACCCCAGTGTAAATTCTTTCTTCCTTTGTCATAGATTAAGTTACCATATAGGCAATGATTTATTTCTGGGCTCTCTATTCTGTTCCATTGATCTGTGTCTGTTTTTATGCCAATACCATGCTGTTTTGATTACTATAGCCTTGTAGTATAATTTAATATCAGGTAACTTGAAACTTCCAGCTTTGTTTTTCTTTCTCAAGATTTCCATGACTATTTGGGGTCTTTTATTGTTCAATATCAATTTTAGAATTATTTCTAGTTCTATGAAAATTGCCATTACATTTTTTTAATAGAGATTGCGTTGAATCTCTATAGTCCTTTGAGTAGTATGGACATTTTAACTATTAATTCTTCCTATCCATCAGCATGATATATGTTTCCATTTATTTGTATTTAATTTATCTCTCAGTGTCATAATTTTCTGAATACATGTATTTTGCTTTCTTGGTTAAATTTATTCGTAAGTATTTTTTTTTTATGCAACTGCAAATGGGTTTGGATTTTTCTCATACAGAGAAGTTGTAATGATTTTATGTTTTCACAATTTCTTTACATATATTAGATTTAAGAACTTTGTTATATTTATCTCACGGTCACTTTCCTTTTTAACTTTTGATTTTGTCATGTAAAACTTATAAATATTTATATGATAATTTTTTCTACTGTTTAGTAGTAAAATTATCTTCCAACTACCTATGGAATTAAAATGCTCCTCTATAATTTTATCTTTTTTTTTCAAGAAAGCATCATGTTGTGAGCTATATTAGATGCAGGAATCACAATATGACATGGTACCTTTCCTCAAGTAGCTTCTAATTTAGTCAGAGAAGGACTGTATCAGTTACAGTTCTCCAATAAAACAGAACCAGTAAAGATATACATATATGAATATGTGTGTGTGTGAACACACATATGTGTAAAGAGATTCTTCAAGAAATTGGCTTACACGATTACGGACTGCCAGGTATGAAATTTGTAGGGCAGGTCAGCAGATGGAAAACTTTCGTGCAGTAACTAATGCTTCAGTCGTGAGGCAGAATTTCTTCTTCAGGGAAATCTCAACTTTGCTCTTAAGGCCTTTCAGGGAAATCTCAACTTTGTTCTTAAGGCCTTTCAACTGATTGGATGAGACTCACCCAGATTATGGAAAATAATCTCCTTTATTTAAAGTCAACAGATTGTAGATGTTAACATCTATTTCAAAAAATCTATAAAATACCTTCACAGAACACCTAAATTAGTGTTTAACTGAATAACTGTAATACAGCCTGTCCAAGTTGACAAAAACCTGACCATTACAAAGGCAAATAATATGGCAGGCTTTTGATGGTAATTTTAAACTTAAGATATTGCAGTACTAATTCATACCTTTAATTGTAACATTTAAAAGAAAGGCAACAAAGTAAAATAAATGGACTAATATGTTAAAAGGTAAAAGACTTGTT